GGCAACCTTCCGATTATAAGGCGAACGCCCAACTCTTGAGCCACAATCGCCATAGATATGCTGATGTCAACTTAACTGTCCCCGAGCATATAAACGGCCACTTTAATTTTAAAATGTTCTTGATAATATACTTCATTCTAACAAGGGCATGAAAAACCTTATCTATTATTATTATCTATTATCTGTCTGGACATTATCATTACGCAGCACTGTGGCATCCACACTTAGTCTCCATAGAATATCTGCTCAGTAAGTGAGCCTCCCATTTGTCAGACTGTAAATATTCAATAAATATCGAGTACCACTGTGTTTACCTTGCAGACCAAAGTGACAGAGCAGTCATCCCCAATCTGAAGTGATAGAAACTCACTAAAGTGGGGGCCTGTAGTGAAAAGAAACATGAGAGGAAGCCTTGAAAATGGACATAAGCTTTTACAAAACACTTGAGGAACCTTGTTATAAGCTGTATTAACTGATGTGTGGTTTTAAGGTTGCAGCTCGAGAGTTTATGTAAAGATAGTCTACTTCTCTCCTGTATGCTCACTCATTAGTTATCTCCTGGGCAACATAGTGTTGTGCTGGTCTCAGGCTAAATTAAGAACAAAGCTCTTACAAGCTTAAAATTGGATGATGTTTTGTATTTCTTACCCTCTTTGACTCTGATGTACTCTCTCCTCTGGAAATCAGCCTCAGCCAGTGCTGCCTTGAAAGCTATGTGCACATACAGATACACATAAACGAAGAATAATTAAAAGATCAAAGTGTTGCTATAGATTTTCTTTTTTTTTTAATGGTCCCCCGTATGAGAGCAGAATCATAATTTATGAAATCAAGCATCTTTAGTTGAATCTTAGGGAGTCCTATAGACATGAAGTTCAAACCCTTCTCTACACTAACGGGCTTAATACATTTCCATAATGGGATCTCTAATGCAGCAGATGCTAAGTCTACTGTCATACAAAAAAGCCCATTCTATACACTCTCTGCTACATGTCTGTGTTTCTCCTGGCTTAGGCTTGACAGCAAAATCCCTAATTAGTACGCTGAAAAATAAGAGGTTGTGATAAGTTCTTTCTGCACACATCCACTTAATATACATTTGTGGTTTGATACAGCTGCAATCCAACCAAGAGAAAAAAAAATACAGTCCAGAGGGTATTGTTCTTTTTTTTTTTTTTTTTTGTTGAATGTAGTTGGATACTGCAGGTTTTGTGGGACAGCAGTAAACACTGGCCCCTCTTACCATTTCCAATCAGAACCAGTGAGCTCTGTGCCTTTCCTCCTCCATCTGTGATCTGGCAGGTATATGTCCCCTCACTCTCCTCAGTGAAATGATCCATGATGAACTCAATGATCCCTGTAGCGACGTCATGAGCCATCTTGTTGGGCTGCAGAAAAATAGAGTTGTAATTTTAAAAAGCCTACTTGACGACAGACTTTGTGAATATCATAACTTTTGTGTAGTTAAAAACAGCTGACTGAACTATTGTCTTGATAGAAAAGTAGGTTGTTCACCTTGAAGCTAGAATATAAATCATTCAGCTCTTCTGTTTTTATTTGCAAGGCTCACTTAAATGGTTTAGCTCATACTTTGGGACCTTTCAGATTGAGCCTCGCAAAAATTACAGCTGAAAGAAGACTACCTGGCTAACTGATATATCATTTTCCGGACTTCATTTTCCATTTGCATAACTTTCTACACCCATGAATTTCAAGTACTGCATAGGGAGAGTGGCATAGGTAGGAACCGACTACAATCTGCGGGTAAACTAAGATGTATCTTACATCAGCTCCAGACAGTTCCTTGTTGTTTGCAAAGAATTTGTAGGTGACATTGGAAGAAATCTCCTCAGCCTGCAGCCAGAACCTCATTCGGCCTCTCTCCAGAATCTTATAAGCCAACTCAGACTTCAGCGGGATGACTAGAGGACAAGAGGGAGGAAGGGTAAGGACTTTCAAAACATTATTGTCCTTGTTTAATGAGGAGACGAAGGAGGAGAGGACAGGAGAAGGAGAAGAGCTTAGGCAATGTGATGCAAAAGCAGGTAAGACTTTTTTTTTTTTGGATCAAATAAAAAGAGAAATCTGCCCCTAAAAAAATGAAGAAATCAGAAATCTTCAAAGGCAGAAGAAGAAAGAAAAATAAAAGCATAAAAGAGGGAGAACGAGAAATGGAGTGAGCAGGTAAGACAGATTAAGACTCAGAGGAGAACGTTTTAAAGAAGAGATTAAAAAGGACAAAGAGAGAGAAACTTAGAGAGATTGAAAGAGTCAGCCAAAGGTACCTACCTGGGTGTCTGATATCATAACTGAGCGCCAGCATCTTTGCCAACTCTATAAGGCACAGACACATTATTTTATAGACACAGACATGCAGTTATCATACATGTGACATTTTATGCATTGGTCTAATTTTACCATTAGCTTCGATGTGATACCAGATAAGTCAGGGAGAGGAAAATCAAGAAACAAAAACATTAAAACAGAAGCTTAAAGCTGAAAGAATGACATTACATTGTGACTCATAACTGGCCCTGAATGCTTACCTTGAAACACAGACTGTTTTATGAGTTGTTGTATTATTGGAGCCTCACAAAGTACCTGTGATATAACTGAAATAAATGAAACCTTGCGTGCTAGAAGTTCAGAAATTCTTGCGAGTTACAGTGGAATAACTGTAGGCCGAATGGGAAGCAATCAGTGGAAGCCACGTATTATAGCCTCGTAGCAAACTGGTGCAATAGAAGGAAAAGCGTTGTGAAGCTTTCTGACAGAAATCCTTTTGCCACAAAGATCTGGTGGTAAAACATGTTCAGTGCCCCAAGCTTGGAGAAATAATGCGCTCTGCTGGTATCATCAGATGTGTAATGAAATTGTTTGTTGCCTACATGCCAGGCTGATTGTTTTTAAGTATGCTCTCACTGCTTTCATCTTTTATTGCATTCTACACACTGCCTTAGTTCTCCGATACAGTTTTCTTTTGATTTTGGCTCAAGTCTGCGCTTTTGATGTAGTTATTAGGGTGTTGCTCTACAGCTGTTCAAATTTTCACGATCAAGGCATGAGTGGTATTTGCACGCAATATTTTAACAGAGGTAGGAAACGGATATGGAATGCAAACTAATGCGATGAGATGATTAAGATAATAATGGCAACATCGCAAATTACCATATGTCAACAAGGGCAAATGAGCCATGAGTATAGAATACAAATAAACATAAACATGAGAGATTTCATTAAGTCTAAGCTGCAGATTCTCTTACAGATTTTCAAATTTTGCATGACAGTTGACTGGGTGCCTAAGCATCAGAGCCATCCTTACTTAGCAATGAATAGAACCTACCTTCATTAGAGATTGTGTAGCTGGATGACACTCCCTCTGTGTTTGTGACAGAAACAGAATACGTCCCAAAGTCCTCCTTATCTGCATTCTTGAAGATCAGCTTAGAGCTGCAGTGGCGGGCGGAAGAGAAACACAGACACACACAGTCAGAGAGATTGTTAAAGCTGAAATTGAATGCAACTGTTTGATGTCATATGCATGTTATATATGTGTGTGACTGTGGTCTTACTGGGTGCCCTCGGATTTAATCACTACCCCTTTAGAGAAATCTGTGATTTCTTTATAATCTTTCTTCCAGATGAACTTGGAGCCTTCGTTTATCTGGCAGGACTCGAATGACAGAACAATGTCACCTGACTTCTCATCCACCACACAGGACACCTCCTGGGAACCTTCAATACACAGACAAACATAGTTTTTAGACTCATTTTTGTCTCCAGTTAATGCCCAGAAAGCCTAAACAGCTATTAATGTGAGCTTTGATATTTGATGGATTGATATCACATGTGTCCACTCGCTCTTAAACTCTTGCCTTCACCACTGTCAACAATAGTGCAACACTCACTCAAAGCAAAACCATAGCACTTTGTATGCTTTACAAAGAGGAACTTGGAGACACATATTTATGAATTCTAATACCATTCTAATAGTAAGGTATTGAGTTTCTGTCTGCTGTTAAATGTTACCTGCCACGGCCTTGGCAGTCACAGGGTCAGAGGCCATTGAGGCCATACCCACTCCAACAGCATTGACTGCACGCACTCTGAACACATAGGTAGTGCCCACCTCCAGACCTGTTACCTAGGACACAAACAGACAATCTGTTGTTGCTAGGGGGAGAGGAGGTGTGAACGTCTGTAAATGGGTGTGGTAACTTTCAACCTGTGCAAAATTGACAGGTAAATAAATTATGACATAATAACAGCATATTCTATTCTGAATCTAACAATACTATTTATTTTGTTGATCACTTGGTGCTGTGAATGAATGTAAAATAGATCCAGCAGCAGCTGGATCTATTATTATAATTCCCCTTGTTCTTTTAGGCAACTTACCCTAAATATTAATAATGCATGAGTAATCCGTATTGTTTCAAAACATATTTTTATTAGATCACTAAATGGTCTTTGTATTATTATAATTATTCTTGCCTTATTTTACTTTACTGACTTTCCATTATCACACATAAGGTGATTCACCTTTAAAAGATTTTCTTTTTGTACTATTTCACCAAGTAATTACTTGGTTCATCCACTAGATGTCAACATCACACAGTTTTTTGTACCTACACTGCTGCAGTTTTGGTAGTGGTAAATAAAGTACTGGAAAAAATGGATGAAAATTGATGTTTTGGGGGGGAAATGTTCAGTAAAGATGAAGAAACACACTGTTACATAATAAACATGATGCACTGCAGTTTACACTTGTTTCAGCAGTGCCAACATTTAGTTTAACCTATATGTTATATTGTAAATTGAAAGCGTTATTCCAATTTCTTTTGTCTTGCGTGCTTGAGTAAAATCTTTGATGAGCAGTGGAGGGTAACCTCTATGATTTATAGATTGGAACAGTGATACCCTCACCTTTAGGAAGCGGTGACTGGCAGCTTTTTCATTGGCTGTGATCCAGTTAGCAGTACCCTTCTTGGCATACTCAACATGGTAGCCTGTGATTGGTCCAGAACCAGTGTAGACAGGCTTTTGCCACTCAACCACCAATGAATTATCTCTCACTTCACAAAAGGTCAGGTCATAGGCTGGGCCTATATGAGCCAGATGATGAGAGGAGAAGAACAACAATTCCATATTTATCTTTCTAGAAGTGTAAAAGCTTCACTTTTGACTCAGAGTTTGAAGTCAGTCACTAAAAAGTGAAATTTACTAACCAGGTTCTGGCATTGTCCAGGCATCACATGTAAGGTCTTCTGAATGTTTGGACGCTGGTCCAAGACCAGCCAGGTTGGCTCCATAGACCTGGAACTGATAGACTGCTCCCTCTGTTAAGTTCTCCACCTTTTAATAAAATGTTACATGGTTAACTAAAATTCTAGTTATCATTATCAATCTAAACAAAATGGACATGCCACTTTCAAAATTGAACAGGCCAGTTTTGCACAAAATAATCAGACCATCCCAAATAAAATGTATCTTAACTTTTGTATGTTATATAATAAGAAGAGTATGCAAGTATGTATGCAAAATTGTGGCCCTCTTCTGTTTGTTTTGATGTTTGAATGTTATAAAAAGAGTCCAAATACCTTATAAACTCTCTCTGTGGTTGGTGGGATATGAACCTCCCTCCACATGGTTGTTCCACTACGTCTTTTGTCCACATAATACTCTTTGATCTTTGCTCCTCCAGAGCGAAGAGGCTTCTTCCAGTTCAGGATCATTGAATGGCCGTCGCAGTACAGCAATGCAATGTCATAAGGAGCAGATGGGTTTGCTGTAAGAACAGTATTGAGTTTTAATTCTTTAAAATGAAAAGGATTGGGGCAGTTATCATGGTTAACATCTGCAGTAGTGAGCAAATAGTTGGCATTACTGACTAAGGGCAGCCTTGACAGTCAAAGGTGCAGACTCCTGGGATTCATCACTGAGACCCAGCTCATTGATAGCCTGGACGCGGAACACGTAGGTTTCTCCTGTGGTCAAACCACTAACCACAAACCTGAAGAGACACAAACGTGACACAAAGCCCATTGTGTAATTGACTATGTGCACGTTAGCATATGCTACTTCCGGTGCGGAAACTCCTGTGGGGAGCTTTGTTTCC